TTATAAAAAATTTAGAGAAGACCTAATAAAAAAAATAGCAAAAGATGATAAAATAGTCTAATTGTTAAAATTTTTAGTTAAACTTACAAGTATTGATGAAAAGTTTATTCAATGTGGGTCAAATGCACTTAATTTATTAGTAGATCTGAAAGGGATTTGACCAACCATTACTTTGAGGACATTCGGATCAAGAATTGTAGTTTGATAGGTGGGAATTTTGTTAGAAGTAATTTTAACGGATCGGAATTCGAGAATGTAGATATTAGTGGAATTAATCTAAATGGAGCTCTATTATTAAATTGTAAGTGGAAGAATATTAAAATCAACGAATTGAATTAACTAAATGGTCAAAGTATTTGCATCAATTCTGTATGTTTCTCATCAGATGGAACTACTTTAGCATCAGGTAGTGATGATAAATCAATCTTTTTATGGGATGTTAAGACAGGATAATAAAAAGCTAAATTAGAAGGTCATACGAGTTCTGTCCTATCAGTATGCTTCTCACCTGATGGAACTACTTTAGCTTCAGGTAGTAATGACAACTCAATCCTTTTATGGGATGTTTAGACAAGAAAAAAAAAAACCAAATTAGAAGGTCATACAAGTTCTGTTGATTCAGTATGCTTTTCACCTGATGGGACAATTTTAGCTTCAGGTAGTGATGATAATTCAATCCTTTTATGGGATGTTTAGACAAGAAAAAAAAAAGCCAAATTAGTTGGCAATACGAGTTCTGTCCTATCATTATGTTTCTCACCTGATGGAACTACTTTAGCTAGTGGTAGTAAAGATAAGTCTATATGCTTATGGAATGTTAAGACAGGAGAAAAACAAGCTTATTTAGAAGGTCACAGTTCTTTGGTCGTATCAGTATGCTTCTCACCAGATGGAACAATTTTAGCATCGGGTAGTTGGGATAAGTCAATCCTGTTATGGGATGTTAAGACAGGATAGTAAAAAGCCAAATTAGAAGGTCATACGAGTTCTGTCTTATCAATATGCTTCTCACCTGATGGAACTACTTTAGCTTCAGGTAGTAAAGATAAATCAATCCGTTTATGGAATTTTAAGACAGAATAATAAAAAGCTTAATTAGATGGTCATTCTCGTACTGTCTTGTCAGTCTGCTTTTCACCAGATGGAACTACTTTAGCATCAGGTGGTTGGGATAAATCAATCCGTTTATGGGATGTTAAGACAGGATAATAAAAAATCAAATTAGATGGTCATACGAGTTCTGTCCTATCAGTATGCTTCTCACCTGATGGAACTACTTTAGCTTCAGGTAGTGTGGATGACTCAATCCGTTTATGGGATGTTAAGACAGGATAATAAAAAATCAAATTAGATGGTTATACTAGATCTGTATGCTTCTCACCAGATGGAACTACTTTAGCTTCAGGTGGTTAAGATAACTCAATCTTTTTTTGGGATGTTAAGACAGGATAATAAAAAGCCAAATTAGATGGTCATAAGAGTTCTGTCCTATCAGTATGCTTCTCACCTGATGGAACTACTTTAGCTTCAGGTAGTGTGGATGACTCAATCCGTTTATGGGATGCTAAGACAGGATAATAAAAAGTCAAATTAGATGGTCATACTAGATCTTTGTGCTTCTCAACAGATGGAACTACTATAGCAGGTAATTATGATAACTAATATCGGAAATGGGATGATAACTCCATTCGTGTATGGGTTGTTAAGACAGGATAATTAAAAGTCTAATTGAAGGGTCATACTAGATCTGTTCACTCAGTATGCTTTGCACCATATCAAACTATTTTAGCATCAGGTAGTGATGATAAGTCAATACGTTTATGGGATGTTTAGACAGGATAATAAAAAGCCAAATTAGAAGGTCATACAGGTTCTGTCCTATCAGTATGCTTCTCACCTTTTGGATCTACTTTAGCATCAGGTAGTGATGATAAGTCAATCCGTTTATGGAATGTCAATACAGGATAATAATAAGCTTAATTAGATGGTCCTTCTGGTTCTGTCTGCTCGG